TTTTCGAGAGGCGAGCGGCCGGTTCGATGGAAGAGAGACCGGCGTATTGAATACATGAACAGGAGGTTGGGTCCCAGTGGGAGTGCGAGGGCGTCCGTCGTCGTTGGCAGTGTCGGCAGCAGGTGGAGTGGCACCGAGATCGCGCGAGGGAGGAGACGCCGCCGCCACGGGAAGGTCATCGTCGTCCAAGTAACGGTGGAGCCGGAGACGCAGGGGGAGGTGTATCGGGAGGGGGAGTTGGGGCAGGTTCAGACATTAGCGTGGTAGCGATCGTCAGAACGGAAGACGATGCGACAAGAGGCCACAGTCACCCACCGAGCTTTTAAAGTCGCTGGACTTGCAACTCCGCTGTTCATTGTCCATTCTATTCCGTGATTCTTTGTGGCTTGTCTCTACACGTGTAGATGAAGGCCGTGGCCGGTCAGTACGGGAAGGGAGCTGACGCGTGGTGTGGCGGAAAAGAAATGTGTATTTCTCACGTTCCTCGCGTCCAAACGTGTCACGTGACCGTCGTCACACCGCAAGCCCCGCAGTCACCAGTGTGGCTGGCGTGGACGTGAATGCCTTGCTTCGTCCCTTATCCCTCATTAAAGCGATGGTAAGGAGTTAAGGCAATGAAAAATGGTGTGGCAGTCTATATGATCACCACAGGCTCTCCAACTTCCGACATGCTGTTTGCAGGACTGTTGGGTTCGTCGACCCCATCGCAGAGTTAACGAGTTCCAACGTAAATCTATTGGTTACGTTATATACTGTAATGCGCGCAATCAGCAGCATCCAATACGATGAAGCATGGGATCGGAACCGTCATGTCACAAAGCAAGAGCATAATATGTGGAACGCCTAGGCCACTCATAATCCGGAAGCAGGACCTGGCATGAGGCCAATCAGCTTCGTTAATGATAGAGCATGTTTGATTGCAGATATCAAGTGGACTTCTAATTTTTGTGGCACAATGATTTGATTGTAATTGTTCCACACGCGGCCTATCATCCCGTGTCGTGAGTTTGTACTACTTTATAACATGGCGGAATGACGAAGCGACCTCGTATTCAGGTTATCTGAGCGAGGGCCGTTCTCTCTTGACCGATATTGATGGCCAATTGATGTAGCCAGCGCTCTGGTGAGCCAGCTTTCTCTTCCTCTAGTGAAGTCTGGCTGATCTCTCATGTCCTGTCTCTGTCGTTCACCGTTTTCATCTGTGTCTTGTTCATCCTGCCCACCTCGCATCCGGTGGACTCGATCAACATGAACTACGCGGTCCTCGCAATCGGAGCTGTCATGCTCCTCGTGGCATTTGCGTGGGTGGCTTGCGGGAAGTACAGGTTCGTCTGGCCGGTGCGGACGGCGGAGGAGGATGTGAAGGAGTGATATATACATGCAGGTTTGTGACTTCCAAGGAGGGTGAGAGGCAATAGCCTTGAGTTTCCACGTCTGGGCCAACCGAATTGGTGTGGCTGTCCCGATAAATGCTGGAACTGCAGGCCGTTTTTGGAGGATTTGGGACCAGTGGGATCTAGCATGTCCGTCTAGCTTGTGGTGAGGTGGGAGCACTGGGTACAATACGCGGATTGAGTCACCGGCAAAGCGTGAGATAACTATTAGGATAAAGGTCAAACTTTGTTCATGGAGTTGCCTCACACGATAGGCCAGCGATACTGAATAGAGATAACGTCCAGCGAGAGGATTAGATTCTTGCTCGCGTAAATGGGATCCTCGACCCGAGTAAGTATTCCCATATTTGCCGCAGGCTCAATACGGGTACTTGATGTATCCAGTGACATGCGGTTGCTTCTGGTTCATCGTAGGAAATTGAGATGGGTACACGGACCGCACTGAAAGAGGATGTAACGCCCCGCATCGCCAATAACTCGACACGAGTGTGAACGATTATCATTCACGCTCCAGGGTTGCTGGCAGGGCGTACTGTATGAGGACCCCTGAAAATACCGATGGAGGTTAGATACCAATTCCATAAAAAAGTGAGGTCTGGAGGCCGTATGTTAGATACGGTTGCGGTAAAATGTGGCGAAGCGCCCAAGAGGCCGGATACTTCAGTCCCGGTAGAATTGAGGCTCGATATCCAAGGTCAGATACCATTGTGGTATATACCCGGCATCTCCCGGCACTCAATCACTCGCTTGTGCAGCCACAATTTGCCCCAATAAATATTTGAGCTAAGATTACACTGTTTTGGCAATATTGGGCCTATATATGGCATATTGTAGCCAATAATGCCTTATTTTGATCAAATTTGGCTAAGGAAAACCCTTGTAACCGGATCAAAATTCGGAGGTTGGATATCTGGGTCCCGGTAAATCTCGAGCCACACGGCTAGGTTGGTATCGCGTCCCAGTAAAAACAGCCAAATTAGGCGGAACTCGGTCCCGGTAAAAATGAAGGAAATCAGGTTCTCTGGTATCTAACCTCCATTGGTACTTTCAGGGGTCCTACTGTATGTCTATGTATGTAAGCGTAACGCAGCCCCGTTGCGTTACCCGGAGCGCACTTGGTAACGCGTAACGCAGAGGTTGTTGTCTTCTCCGGGGAAGTGTAACGCTCGTCAAAAAATTCGATTTTCGGTGGGATTTAGCTACGAATATTGTTCCGTCAATATATCTCAGCAGTTAAAAATCAAGTATTATATTGTAGAGTGCTTCTTTGCATCCCTAATATGGTAGGATCATATGTAGAAGCGCATGGGTACTGGTCGGGTTGCGGTTGCTAATTTTACCACTGTAACGCGTAACGCCGGCTTTGTTACTTCGAGCGGTGCCATAGGTGTAACGCTGTGCGCCCGGTTGCTTACATACATAGACATACAGTATTCCAAAGGAGAGGCCCGGGAACACGAGTCACGGTCACGTTGTCACGTGCCGCCTTCGACCGCGGCAACGTGAGAAATTCATCTCGTCTCTTGCCACAACACGCCTTCGTCGCGCAACACCATTGATATTGGTTGCAGAACTCATCAACACCTGCGTTTTAGAGCCACATTGAAGCACTCATAACAATGGACAATGGACATCGGAGTTCAAACTCCAGCGATTTAACAAGCTCGGTGGGTAGCCGTCGCTTTTCAACCTTCTTCCTTGCTGACTGTTGCACCCCCAATGCCTGAACCTGCTGCGACACCACCTCCGGATACTCCTCTGCCTGCTTCTCCGTCTCCCCCACCGCTTGATGATTTCGTGGTGCCTATACCGGGCACATCTGCTCCGGCGGATGTCAATGCCACACCGGCCGCTGGCGACTCTGCCGATGACGTTGAACGTCCTCATACACCACCCGCCAAAAAAAATCCTCCTTTACTATTTAACACACCGACCTCACACCCATCCGAACGACCGCTGTCCTGTACGCGGAAATATCAGAGCCAGACTCTCCCCATCAGCACGCTACGGACAGAAGCCGGAAGTGAGGCCTCAAGGCTACGGGTTGCACCTATTTCCATGACCGACTTTCTGCGCATTACGTTTCAACGTCAATTCGGGAACGTGGTCGAGAATGCCTCGCAGGCAATATCCCCGAACGCTCAGACCGGTGTCTCAGCGAAGTTGCAGAGCGTGCCGACGGGGGACGGGGTCGAACTTGAGATGTATGAACCCCTAGTACGTAATGAAATAGTTTTTTGACGCGTTAGCACTGACCCATAGTCCCTCCGGCAGAAGGAAGCGCTGAATAAGATGTGCTCGTCTCTTTGGACAGAGAACCCTCCCATCGAATTTGAGGTCGTCAATCACTCCCAAGACACCAAGGATCCTGGGACGCCAGACCTGGTTGTTCTCTCGAAGGGGAAGGACAGCTCTTGGCCATGTGCATTAGCATTCGTCGAAGTCAAGCCAACCGATAGGCAAGATCCGTTTTACAATACTACGGACGAGTCGAGGCCAGACACTCCTCATGAATACCAAACGGGGGTTTGGGATCAATTCTCCTACTATGCCACCGTCTCATTCAAACGCCGGCCTCGCTGCTTTCTGTGCGGGATTGGGATCTTTGGCAGTCGTGCTAGGTTCTTTCGGTGGGATCGTTCCTCGGTGCTCATATCCGACTATTTCGACTACAAGCAGGACCTCAAGCCGTTTTGGCAGTTTCTGGCGGGATTCGGTGCCCAAGGGTACTGTGGTAGCGGCGTCGACCCTACGATCAATTTCGAATCGCGCCCAGACGGCCACGTCGAGCTCCTTCGGGAAAAGATTAAGAAGGCGAGGGCGAAGCGACTAATTTCGGAGGAGGCCGAGATGCTGGACGACAACACCCTGGTGGCCCAGAGCAGTACGATTACAGTGCCGTCGAAGTCTGGCGATAAATTGGAGCAGTACATCACCGTGGGCCCGCCGCTCTTCACCTCGACGGCGATGCTCGGCCGAGGGACGTGTACCTGGCTCGCATTCCCTGTCCCAGGCACTGTGGAAAATCCGGAACGCAGTAACGAGGATCATTTTGTTATCATCAAAGACTCTTGGCGCGACCCGTCTCGCAGGCTCGAGGGTGAAATATACAAGATCATCCATGCTGAGGGGCCTGTTCCGGGTGTAGCAAGGCTGCGCAGCGACGTGGATCTGATTGACCCTCCCAACTCAGATAACGGAATGCATCGGACGATTGCTCACCTTCTTAATAAGCACTACGGACCTCGCAAGTGTCCTCCGCGCGTCCATCATCGCTGCGTCCTTGATTCCGTTGGGATCCCACTGAGTCGCTTCTCTTCCACTCGTGAAGCGATGGAGGCGATCTATGATAGTCTTCTAGGTGAGTACCCTCGTTTCCTTGTCGTCCCTCCATGGCTTATGGGAGCGTCAGGTCATGAGGGGATGGGCGAGAAGAAAATTCTCCACCGGGATATCAGCATTAACAATATCATGATTAGCGCCTATCCCGACATGGAAAATTGCAAAGGTTTTCTCATTGATATGGAATATGCCACGGTGGTCGGTGAACCCGGAAGTGATGGAGATTTACGGGAAATCACGGTAAGCACGCTGATCTGGACCAAGCAGTAGGGTCTCACAACTAACGAGGGATGTCTTCCAGGGAACTGTGCAGTTCCTATCCGTTGCCCGAGTACGGGAACCAGGACAGGATGTACCTGCTCACGCCACCTGGAATGACTTGGAGTCGTTTTTCTGGTCTACCGCATACTTTTTAATCCATCACAGGCCCCATACCTTGTCGGTGGACTGGATCAAGCGTATCTTCTGCGGCGCAGATATCGCTTGGAGAACTCACTTCATTCGAGTAGAGGTGAAGAATATAAAGGTTCTCCGTGGAAATCACCATAGCAGCGAAGTGTACGACGCGAAGAAGGCCGGAGAACTCGACGAAGCATCAATCAACATATCAGTGACTAGGTGTATCCACCGTCTCGCTGGCCTCGTAGCGACCCACTACCAAGACGAATGGATCTACGAGCGATACTATGACAATGATCCTGATAGTTTCTACCAGCTGGAGACCCACCAACACATCAAGCTGGCTTTTCGTGAAGCTCTGGATTCCAATAGCCGGCCGGAGCCGGATGATAGCGCTACAGCGTTCCGTCGCATTCCCATCTCGAAGAAGCGTGTTGCCCAAGACACCGCAGCGAACCTCAGGACCGGCACTGGGTCTCACCCGGCTTCCGGAAGCAAGACTCGGAGCAAGCGAAAGCGAGAAGGCAATGATGGGAAGGACAAGTCTTTGAAACGCACCCGTAATCGCGAGGCCGGGGATGCAGCTACGAAGAGTGCGGTCACGAAGGGTGCGACCACTCAGGGCGCGGTACTGGAGGCATCGGGCGTGCACGCTTCGGCGGGGGGTAAAATTCAGGATCGCCTTCCCGCTATCTTGGACTAGCGTCACTGTGGATAGGGCGGGAGGCAGGGGCGGTATTGCGATCGCTCTTGCTAAGAATTCTCGATTCCTGGCGTGCGGGTGACTGGTAGGTATTCATGCTGTATCCAACTCGTTCTTGTGTATCTATGGTTCCAGGCGTTGCTATTGTGTAGGACGCCATCATGGATCATGGGGTCGACCGGGGCGCATCGGCGGCTCGCTAGCGCATACGTTTGATGCATAGATGCACGCTCCCGAGCGTCGATGGAACACAGTATGGAAGTATCTAGAAAATCATGCCGACATCCTTTCTACTCCTGCCCAACGATCTCCTTCATGTTCGGAAGGAAATCCGAGAGGAAATCCGCAATGTCTGCGGTGTTGGCCTCAGGGGAGTCGCCGACATACAGTTGGAGTATGTTCTCATTGCAGATCCCTCGCGCCGGTCGCTCTCCTGCAGTGCTCGGGACGTCTGTTGCGTCAAATACAAGACCGAGTTCCTCCAACTGTGGACACCACCGGATGACCGACGTCAGACCCACGGTTGGTCCAACCAAAAGTTATCAATGCCAACAGACAGGGGGCGAAGACGGGCCAGTTCGACACCAGCCATTTTAGGGTCGTGTTATCAAGCATTATACAGCATTTGTCTTCTATTCGAAACGTTCGAAGATTATGGAAATAACGAAAGGCCATGAGTGCGCCCCCGTCGAGCTCCAAGCCTTGCCCTGTAGTCAATCTTTCTCTGTCCGGCACAAGGCCTATCCTGAGCTCCTCCAGTAAGGGAGGGCTGCAGTGGCTCGCGCCGTTGTTTCTCCAGCCCAGAACATTGAAGGGTTCCCGATTTTCCGTCGTTAAAACTTTAAGATGCTTCAAATTGCGCAATATGACGATTCGCTCCAGAATGACTGAAGGAAGCGTGTTGATGGTTTGGAGGTGCAGACTAAGCAGATTATGAAAGAAGGCTCCTTCGGGGGCATCGGAGGCTGCCCCGTCAATCAAAGGCCTCCAGATTTCATCTCCCTGCCAGCGGCAATAGAGCTTTAGACACTGGAGTTGCGGCCAAGAAACTATGTGTAAGAAGAGTCGAGCCGAGATAGGCTCTATGTTAGCCTCGATGCTCCGGATGTCATCAGGAAAACCCTCCCGAGCTAATTAGACATAATTTAGACACAATTATGTATGATGCCAAAAATCCATCTAAAGGTCGTATAATCCAGAGTGACCAACAGCTAATCTACATGACACACTTCTGTGAAAGTAAGATACATCTTTTAGCAACTCTGCAACACGGTCCTTCGTCTACATGTTTGTGCAGTTCCCTGCAACTGCGGCAGCCTAGGAAATGGCAAGGGTAAATGCGTAAACTCGCGCGCAAACCCTCGTCGACGGGTCCGGTACGGGTACGCGGCGACCCAGGTTTCGATTTTGAGAGCGCGGTGGACGATGCGCGTTTTCGATAGTCGGTTCTCGGGTACGGCGAAACGCGTCCCGTACCCGGACCCGCTGGTACCCTTACCCGCGACCCACACGCATTGAGGATCCCGTGCCATGCTAGTCTTCGCGTTCACTGAGATGCGGTTGCTCTTTGTATCAGCTAAACTGCGCGAGTGGCGGGTGGTTGTCCTGTGTTGAGTAAATCTAGAATGTATATACGTGTCAGATGAATGCACATACCTTGACCCGCACTCTCCAACATATCCAGCATGCCATCCATCTGCGTCCATAGCACTATACTCCAGGTGTCTTAACATCATTTACGGTCAGCATGACATTGTCCACGACGTGCTCCCCGGCGCATTCGGAACCCTGCAACTTGTGCAACGCGAGATTTACCGGAGCCATCACCGATGAGGAACGCAAAGCCAGAGAATCAATATCAGAAGTATAAATTGATGAGTCTTCTCCTGCATGTTATCAGCTAAGTAGCAGGAGTTTGGAGAGCTTAGAGGCACCTACGGCTGAGCTCTAGAGAGACTTGGACGGGACTCAGCCAAGACTCAGCGTGTTCTCGCCAGAGTCCGGTCATCCGGTTAGCTGTAGCCGGTCACATGACTTTGTTGATACCGCGTTTTGAACTCCGATTTAATCTGCCATGTTCAACATTCGCGCTCCATTCTTTCTCCTTTGCTGGCTCGCCGCCCGCCGTCGTCCATGTCCCCGTCATTCCGCTCCCTCGGAAAAGGAGCTTTCGCAGCTCTGTAGTCCTGCGACCGACTCGTGTGCTCACTCGTCAGAGTCGTCTATACTCCCAGGGTTGTACCCATGCAGGACCCATCGCGGGCGACTTCTCTGGTAGGTTCAACTTATCTTTTGTGCTGCCAAGTCCCCTGATGACAGCTTTCCTTGATGGCCTTGCCCTGACAGGCTGGATCCCCGTCACTCCATTGACAATACCCGGCTTCGGTTCGACCGCCACCGGATCCTACTTGGCTCTGAACACGGCATCCACTTGATAAAGTGCTGACAGGCGTAAGATGATGCGTGCGCTGGTTTACAAAGAATATGGTCAGTTTGTGTCGATTCCTGTGTGTGTTGTGTTGATGTACTGGCTCGGCTGTGGTGCAGGTTGTGGACTACTCCTTCCATGAGAGTATAAGACTGCAAACACCTGGGTATGCACTAGTGAATGTGATCGGGGGCTGCTTGCGGGTTTGTGAGCAGCTTGTAAGTTAGTCAGATTGGTATGTGCTCAACATTGTTGAGCTGTTGCTGCGGTCTGACTGTGTGCCCCCCTTGCCACTAAGCCTGCTTTGCCGCTATTGTCTGCAAATGTCATATCCACTCCCGAGATGCCTGGTACATATATTTGCATTGTGCATGATGCCGTGCTTCGCTAAATATCTGCCTTGAGTAAGTGGTTGCTCCTTGCTGTCCATGCATGAGGCTCATGATGCCGTACAGAGACCATATCTCTTCCTTCCCAGGTCTGCATTCAAGGTGGTGTCTCATAGGTGTGTTCTGATGTCTGGATGATCTGCCTTACCAACATTATGTTGATGTCTTCTCTTATCTGATCCGATATTGGGAACTTTCCTTAGCCTGCTTTGAGGGGAAAGTGATCTTGTAGGCTGATGAGGGCAGGGAGATTGTAGTTACATGCCTGTTTGTAGCTACATCATGAATATATCTCAATACTCCTTGTGGTACCCCGGGAAATGATATAATGTGATTGCGACATAATTGCCATCTATTATGAGGTGATACAGCATAATGGTCATAATTATGTCTAATTAGCTAGGGGACAAACCTAACTTGTCTAATTAGATAGAATGGCATAATACAGCTACATCAGCAAAATGCCAAATCCGTTGATATGCACTGACACACAACAATCACCAAGGACCAAAAGGAATAAACCTAAACCCCGTGATATGGGTGAAGGCGGTCTGAGACAACTGAAGGGTATTTAATAGTTCGAGGGGGAAAGGAGGAGTAAGACGCCGTAGGGTAGTCCGTAGGAAGACCTAGAAAAATAAAACAAAACCTTGATGCCTGAAACAAACACTAATGGACGCTCCGGAGTATTTATCTCCGAAAAGTCGCAAACAAAGTCGCAAACCACGGAACCGAGTGTAGGTTCGGGCCCACGGGAGTAGAAAACGCTAAAGGGACTTGTTTAATTTTTATTTCGCTATGTGAGACGCACCGGAGCTAATTGAATCGATGGCGGAGCTAATTCACTCGACGAGTCAGGCCTATTGGCAAAGCTAAGATCGGTTATAATTCGCTAAGTTCGACGCTTTCGAACTTCTCAGGTCGCTGAGATCGTAACGCTAATTCTCTGAGATGGTGAAGTCGAAACTTTTTTTCTGTATGCTACTTTGTACAATTTATACTACAGGAATGGCTTTGCGACCGTTCGGAGATAAATAACAAATAAACGCCGCTACCCACAGGATTGCTCAGCACTTTCCTCCGCTATACCATATACCATACGACTCTCTTGCGCTCCCACTTGCTCTTTCCAGCCCCTATAGGTCGCCTCGACGCTCCGCCACCTGACCCAAGCGGTCCCATCACT